TTTTTCCGGGGGGGGGGGGCTTTTTATGGTTTTCTTGCACGGGGGCCCTGAGGGTTCTAGTTACGCCTCTGGCTTAAGCACTGGGTTGGGTTTTCTGGTTGAGTTTGGGGTTCCTAGTTAGGTTGAGTGTTGGATTGGAGCTTCTGGTTGGGTTATGTGTTAGGTTGGGTTTCCAAGTTGGCTTAAGCACTGGGTTGGGGTTCATAGTTGGGTTGAGTATTGAGTTCTGGTCCCAGGTTGGGTTGAGTGTTGCGTTGGAGTTTCTAGTTGGGTTAAGCACTGGGTTTGGAGTCCCAAGTTAGGTGGAGTTTGGGGTTACTGGTTTGGTTGAGTTTTTGATTTCCAGTCCTTAGTTAGGTTGAGTGTTGGATTGGAGCTTCTGGTTGGGTTTGGGTTCCTAGTTTGGATGAGTGTTAGGTTGGGGTTCCTAGTTAGGGTGAGTACTGAGTTCTGGTCCCAAGGTAGGTTGCATGTTGGATTGGGGTTCTTAGTTGGGTTCCAAGTTAGGTTGGTTTGGGGTTCCTTGTTGGGTTAATCGTTGGATTGGGGTTTCTGGTGTTCTTGGGTTATATCGCCAGCACATGGTGCAAATTCAAATCTCCGCAGTGGGGACGGGGGGCAAAAAAAATAATACAGAGAATGTGACGTCTTCTTGTTCCCGGGCAGTGCCCCGCCCCCCCTCAGTAGTGAAGCGATGAATGGAGGTGATGATCGATATCACCGCCATATACAACGTCTGATCTCCTCTCTCTCTCTCTCTCTCTCTCCAGGCCGGTCACCCTGAACTCCCGGGTGGCTCTGATCTGTCTCCCCCCAGAGCGATATATTGTCCCTCCGGACACCAAGTGTGAGATTGCCGGCTGGGGGGACACCCGAGGTGAGTCACATTGTCCTCATTGGGGGGGGAGGTTAGGCCGCGTTTTTGCTGTCCTTTCCTCATACATTGCCTGTGCCGTCTCCTCCTCCAGGTTCCGGGCACCAGGACGTCCTCAAGGTGGCCACCTTCACTATAATCAGTAATGAGGAATGTAATCTGGGGAGCGCCAAGATCCGGGCCCAGGACAGCGATATCTGCACCAGGGCCGTGCCCATAGAGGTCGGAGCCTGCGAGGTCAGTCCTAGAAAATAAAAGGGGACCTGTCATATACAAGACTGGGAGCTGCTGGGTCTGACTTCGTTTTGAAGGTGCACTTTCCAGGCGGGGGGAAATGTAGTCTGTGACCTGGAACAAGCATGCAGTCAGTGAAGTATCCCGACACCAGATACGCACAGGCTGTTACAGGTGAGAGACTCGCTGAGAAGAGGCGGCAGGATAAGGATGACGACCCCGAAGCCTCTGATATCAGAAATGGCGGCTCTCAGGTGACTTCGGCCAATCGTATCGGAGCTCAGACTGGATGTCTTCTCTTATTGGTCGTCGGGTGACATAGGGGACCTCCTGGGCACTGAGAGAACTGTCCCTCGCCTGTGGCCGGCGCTCTGGTCGGGGTTCTGGAAGTTTCTGCTGTGTAGTCGGAGGCGGATCCTACATGTAGGTTTTCTCTCTCATCCATTGAGGGACACAGGATGTCGGGTTATACTGCCACCTACAGGACCCTGACAGACAGAACAATTGCAGACAAGCCCCTGCATTGTGGTGTCACAAGGGGGGTGCGGGGGCTGCGGCCCACAACCGGGTGACTCCATTGGAGGGGGTGACTGACAGTCATTTTGGTGTCACCCCCCCCTCTGAAAAGTCGGGCGCTCGGTCATGGACAGTATCAGGAGAGAGGAGGGGACCCGGCGGCATACCTTATCCCGCCGGGTGACTGTCCCCTCCTCTCTCTGCCGTCCTCCACCACTAAGATGGCCACCGGCAGGTATCAAAAGATTGCCGCGCATGGGCGATGACGTCACGCACGGTGATGTCTCGGCGGGGTGACACCCGGTAACCGCTCCGGGTGTCGCCCAGCCTCGGGACGCCCCTGGTTTCCAGACCTCTGTGTATTGTCAGTTAGCCACGAGGTGCTTTCCAGGTCCAGAGCCAATACACAGCTCCAGGTTGTCTATGAAGACTCATTCTCTCGCGGTGGACACGGTGGGGGGGATGGGGATCGATGGCGGGCTGGCTTGCAATTTTCTGTCGGCTAGTGTCCAATCCTCCTACAGGCGGGTTATACTGCCACCTGCATCTGGATTCCTGGGTCCATTTTTAAAAGACCCCAAGAAAAGGATTTTTTGGAACGATTTATTTCCGGTTGCTATTATCTAAATTTAGTTCATGTAAAGTTCCTCGGGGGCGGGGCCTTGTTCTTCCAAATGTGCTAATGGGAGTGGCCTGTCATTATAATGACTCCCTCGCTGTGAGAGGAGAACTTTGAGTCTCTTCATGTGTGACATCACTGGCGTGGACTCCTTGTAACCCGTAGCAACCGTCCGTCCTGAGAGACTCCATGACTGTGCGGCTGACATATCTTTACACTGCGGTAACCTGGCAACCGGTTGCTATGGAGACGGGAAGGGCTGAAATCTGACCTCCATGGTGTTATCTTCATCCTGTGGCTTCTTCTTTTAGGGTGATTACGGAGGTCCGTTGGCCTGCCTGACCCATGACTGCTGGGTGCTGGAGGGGGTGATCATCCCGGCCCGCGGCTGTGGGAAGAAGAATGTTCCGGGCGTCTTCACTCGTGTCTCCGTCTACGTGGACTGGATCAATAAAGTTATGAAGATGATGTGACGGCGGCTCGGCCTGTAATGTGAATAGAGACTTGGGGGGGGAGGGGCTTTGTAGAATGATGATGATGATGATGATGACGAGGAGGAGGAGGAGGATGACGACGAGGAGGAGGATGTTGGGAGTGTTTGTCTGGAACTGTACGAGAGGAATTTTCGGATTTTATTGATGAATTTTGTAAATATTTAATATTGGGGCCCCGATGGCGTGGCATGAAAGCTGAACTGTCTGTGTTGCTGCTCATCGCGTTCTGACCCGAGACTCATTTGTAGATGTAACTTTCCCATTGCTGCAGACTTTGCTGTTCCATATTTCCGTGTCTGTATCCTGTATACACATTGTATCTGTTTTTGTATCTTTTATTTTGTATTTACAGTAAAAAAAACTTTATTGATGAGAACGATCCGTGTTCTGTACACGCTACACGGGACCTGCACTGCACCCCACACGTGTCCCACCGACTGCCTGCACCAGGGGGAGAGGCAACATCAGCTTTGGCACTCCAAGTCCCATGATGCCTTGCAAGAGCGACGGCCACAGGCATGACGGGATTTGTAGTTTCACCCACAGCTGGAGGGTCAGGGTTGGCTACTCTCGGCCCGAGTACCATGTCGCGGTAGGAAGCCCCGCCCTCCTCTGGGTGCCAGAGAACAATCGCCGGCATTTGTACAACGTAGAAAAGTATTTGTTCCCCGGAGATCCGAACTGCTCACCAAAGTCTGTGACCATATCGGCCTATAGGAAGGGGTCGTTTGCCAGGGAAAGAAGCGGTTACGGAATGGACGGAGATCGGCGTATATTGGTAACAAATATATAAAACTTTATTAACGTACAAAGATTAAGTATCGCGCGCCGTCGGTGAGCTTCGGATAATTTGAATATAAAGCGTGGATGTAGTACGAGTTACTACGTCCACAATCATGAATGAACAGGAAGTGATGTAGGTCACTTCCTGTTTATTCATAACTGGGGTCACAGCGAACATACTCCGTCCTCAAATATATAAACTTTATTAACGTACGAAAATGAAGTATCGCCGTCGGTGAGCTTCCTAGAATGTGAATAAAAAGACAACGTTGTACACGGCACTCATTCCGTTCTTCATTCATACCACGGGGCCCCGCACACACTATGGGGGCCCCGCACACACTATGACCGTATCCAATCCCCGGGCTTCCACAGTGTGAGGTTTTGTTTCAAGGTTTAACACCCTTTCTCAATCGGCAATTCAGCCGCGGAGCTTAGCAAGCTTTGACTTAAGGTGCCCACACACTGCGCCAAATCCCGCCATCGTACGAGAATCGCGCAGCGTGAACGGAGACGTGCGACCGTTTCTACTGCACAGAAGCCTCCTCTGTACTGAGTGTTTCTGTCCATAAAGTGTGGATGTAGTACGAGTTACTACGTCCACAATCATAAATGAACAGGAAGTGATGTAGGGCACTTCCTGTTTATTCATAACTGGGGTCACAGTGAACATACTCCTAGTCTAGTCAGCGACTAGTCCTGATCAGTGCTTGTACTCCCCTCTCCGTCCTGACTGGTCTGCCCTCCCCCGCCTGCCACAGGAGGCGGCATGGGGTGGTGCAGGAGGAGAGCTTGGCCTCCTGTGACAGCTCACTCCTCCCCCGGGGCAGGGGGTAACTCTCTAACCCCGTTACGGGGAATCGTGTGATTCGCCGCGTCAGTGAAGGACGCCATTTATAAGCTGAGATGTGAATAGTATCAGTAGACTCTGATGAAGGGGGTGTGGCCCCAGAAACGCGTCAGGTCACAGTGAGCGGCGGCTCCGGTCCGTGGAGGGGATTGTAGTACGGATCTTCCTACGACCGTCTATCACACGTCTAGGAACTTTTTAATTGTATTTTTTATTCTTTTTTACACATTTTAACAAATTGTACGAATGTCGCGAAGGTTTGGGGGGCGGTCCCTCGTCTTCATGTTTTACGTGATCATGAGGGTCTCCAGCTCGCATTTGATTGGCTTCTCCCCCTCGGCGGCAGGAAGTGGAGTAGAAGAGGGATCCGGCACATCACTAGCGATGATTGATAGGGCGGCTTCCGCGCTCTCCTTTAAGTCGGGGTCCGGTTGGTCGAGGTGCCGGAGG